CACGACATGATTATTCTACTTTGCCTGCGAGTCTAGAATAATTTTATGGTATTGCATTAAGCGCATCAGTCACCATCTTCCTCGCCCCTAAGGTTGCTTCGTGAAAGTTCGGTTGTTTCCGTGATGACTTTATGAATGAACGGCACTCGGTAGCCGGCGGTAGCCTTCGGGGGAACCGCTTCAGACTGGTTTTGTAAACAAACACAGCGGAACTCCTTCAGTCCTTTGTTTCGTTGTCGTCGAATCCAATACGTATCCTAATCGTATAATCGTATATCGTATAAACGTATATACGTAATCCAAAACGTATCCAACATATGGGATTGTGTATGGAATATTTCTTTTCATCAACATCGCTGATAAATATAAGGTAAGCGTCTTATAAATACAATTTATAGTTATAATAGTAGTTTTTTATAGTCTGTAATCCGCGACTATAGTCTATAGAGTATAGTCTTTAGTCCGTAGTCTACCTACCTTACAACATTGTTTTGTTGATCTGCCCTTGGACTTTTGAGACTAATCCAAGTTTGGGACCCAGCAAATGTATTTCCGATTGTGTACTAAACTAAGATTGAGCCTGAGAATCTGATAAGTTCGAAACAGTCTTATTTTAGCATACTACAGTATTCTGTATACTGTAGTAGTACTGCACTGTGTACACAATGGGTCATGTCTACTAGTACTACTACTACTACTACTAGACTAGCTCCACTGTATACTAATACTAAAAGTGATACGCTACGCAGTTGCTATGGTGTAGTAAGAACACCAAATTTGGTGCTGTGACGTCAGTGATCAGCGCTCCAAGCGGTGACGGAAACCGATAGCCAAATAAGGTTTAGGGGCGAGAAGGGTGGTGACTGATGTAGATGCGAGGCGCCGTGAGGCCTGTGGGAGAAGAAGTTTACGAGCCAATATCTCAGCCTAGGAGTAGCGTATTGACAAGCGGTTGGTCTTATTTTAGAGAGCAAAGAATTCTGCTTATACAATAATTAATATGAATGCAATACCATAAAATTATTTTAGACTCACGGGCAAAGTAGAATAATCATGTCGTGAAATAGCACTATTTTCCCGTTTTTCCGTTGTACACTCTAGGTATTATTAGCTCTTGATATGATAGTATATAGGGACGTGTGTGTTTGTTGTTTGTGCAGGTCCGTGCGTCGCTGGTGTGGTCGGCCTCACGATGCCTCGCTACTGCCTCTTCGGAGATTCCGTTAACACGGCTTCCCGCATGGAGTCGAACGGCGAGCGTAAGTTACGCACGCACGCACACGCACGCATGCACGCACGCACGCACACACGCACGCACGCACGCACGCACGCAGCCGCGCACGCACGCACGCGCACGCACGCACGCACGCACGCGTGCATACACACATACAGGTTCAAGCGAACGCACACGCGTGCGCACGCGCCCACGTAAACGCGAACGCACGCACACGCAGCCACACACACACACACACACATACACACACACACACACACACACACACACACACACACACACACACACACACACACAC